CTCTCTCTCTCTCTCTCTCTCTCTATATATATATATATATATATATATATATATATATATATATATATATATATATATATATATATATGTATATGTATACACAAGTGAAATAAAGATTTATCTACGCTGTATACACAAAAGAGCTGTGTGCATGTATATTACTTCAAGTGCGGCTATCATCGAAAAGTCATTAAATAGGTTTTCTGCTAATTATTAATTTTGTTCGAGTTGTTATTTAAACAGTCTCAGAGTGACCTATTTAAGAAAACCCCATTAAACATAAGATTGGCACTGGTTTTATTTTTTGTATATGTTACAGTAATTCCCCATGTATAATACGGATTTTAAAAAATAATATGCAAAATTAGGGATGCGTATTATGTACAGCTACAAAACAATCTTTAAAAAAATTATGTTTCGATTTCAGCTGCGAAATGACTACTCGCCACAATCATACGACAATTTGACTCTAACTTTCGGCGATTGCGACACCATAAAGGTGTCAAATACAATCATAAGAAGTATAGGATATATATATATTTATATATATATATATATATGTATGTATGTATAATTATTTATTTAAAAATATGATTCCTTCGCTACATAAGAGTTCTGATGTTTCAAAACAAGAGCCGAAAACTTGAATATAAATATTTGAATTAAATTGAATTAAAGTAAAAAGTTCTGTTCCATATTTGAGCAAAATTTTTGTGGGAATAACTAATTCTTGAAATTTACGCGTTTTTATAAGCATATTCATTATTAAAATTAAAATTATTTAGGCTCTACTTTTGTATTGAGCACTGTTTTTTTAAATAATAACAAAATACTAAAGAATTTACCTAACGAGTTCTTTCCTATTTTCTATATATTTTCACACACACACACACACACACACACACACACATATATATACGTACACATGTAAAATAAAGATTTATCTACGCAGTATACACCAGAGATATATATTTTCACACACGCACACACACACACACACACACACACACACACACACATATATATATATATATATATATATATATATATATATATATATATATTCGTACACAAGTAAAATAAAAGATTTATCTACGCAGTAGACACCAGAAGCTATGGATATGTATATTACTTCAAGTTATTATATATATATATATATATATATATATATATATATATATATATATATATATATATATGTATGGATGGATATATATATATATATATATATATATATATATATATATATATATATATATATATATATATATATTATATGATTTGATTTGATTACCAAAAAAGGATTGCGTATTATGCGTGAGTAGAAGCATTTTCCCACACTTTCAGCACAAATTTTGGTGTGCGTATTATGGATGAAAGCGTATTATACATGGGGAATTACGGTACTCCCTCATGTACAGCGATATGAAAGAAATTTCATTCACATACAGATATAAACAGATAAATAAACTTAGATGTCCCCTTAGATAAGTTGTAATATGACACTACAGTAGCCACTTGACAAAAACGCTTTTTAATATTCTGAACCACTTATCTCTTATTATGGTGACGTGGTTTATTCAAATTATTCAATGTCTTTAATTATGCACTACGTGAACTATCAGAGGACTCTTTGATCAAGTTATCAAGAGATAAAACCGTGCATCAATGTTGATTCTCACTTTTCCCCAGGAGCATTAACGCCACACAAACGGTCAGTGTAAGAAGTATCAGCAAGCTGATTTAAAAATTTCGATCCATTTTCCTTCGTTATGTATTTTCTGCTCTTGAAAAAATACATAAAATCTATCTTCCCTTAGCTATGGGTTAAATAGCAGATCATCCTAGGCTTTCTTAACTTGCGTGATAGTCAGCCTAAAAGAGGGAAAACTCTAAATTTAAACCTGTGGAGTTATCTTCGTATCACAGTGCACGGTTTTATGTTATCACTCCTTGTAAGATTGGCCCTTTGTTCATAATTTTTCTATACTATGATCAATTCATCAGTATATGGCTGTACCTGAAAAAACCTCTATAATCAGAGCAGCCGGTTTCTCCTCTGAACTCGCTCTAACAGATCAGTGGGGATAGAACTGGCTGGCCACCTTCAGTGCCTCAAAAACACACTAGTGATCATCTACCATTGCCGATCGAACTTAGAACCATTAACTATCGCGAGGAATGGTTTTTACCTCAGGGAGTTCCCTGCCTTGACCGCTTATCGGGACTTAAGATAAGCCCAGAATCTCAAATCGACTACATACATACTAACCAGCGCTAAAGATTCTTGGGAAATGGCCGGCTCCTTGAACCGCTCCAGGAACTATTTGCCCTTCTTGTTATCCTCTACCTTTGCAAGAGTCAGATGGAGTACCGCCTTTATATCTGGCTAGTCTTCCCCTTCCAGTCACGATGGAGTCCAAAAGCGTCTCTGCGTCCTTGTCGGTGACGTATGGATCCTCCACCCGACAACCTCTTTTTCACAGACTGGACGTCGCAAGTCTTTTGCTGCTCTATTTCTCTTCCCATGGAGAGTGTTCTGATAAACTCCATTCCTTAGTTCCTTACCTTTACGTCTAAGACCCGCCATGCCGCGCATATTGTAACGAAGCAACTTCATTAATTTCATATTCACTTGTTGAGACATAAGTTCCATTCGAACAGCTTCATCCTTCCAATCAACATCTTGTAGAACCGACTCTCAAAAGACAAATATCACGTAATAGTTCAGTACTCGTTTCTTTGTTTCTGTTGCTTCATGTCTCTTCTTCATCTTTGAGGAGATTGTCCGATATTCGCTGTTATGTAGGAAGACATATATCACATAACAGTTCAGTACATTTTTTTTGGTTTCTAATTGTTGAAACTTGACTAATGCATAGAATAATAATGCAACACAAAATGTACTTAGAACAAAATGTATTGAAACAAGAAAGTGTACACAATATTTACATATAGTCTTTTGTATATTCCTGGTAAGACCGTTCCTGGAGAATGTGTTGACTGAGTCGCAGTCGGGCAGAGTCTCTGGTTGAATCTCTTGATTCCTCCCTCTCTTCCCGGTACCAACCATATTTATATGGTCGGTACTCCACTATGCAAATTAGGTGGATCCTACCACGACACTTGTTTTCTATATCACTACCATCTTAACCAATTCGACGGTACGCTTAAGCGTTATTTTTCACCCATATCCGCATAAGCTGTGCCTCTTACTGCAATCACCTACCTGAAGTGGCTCTCTGGCTTTGTGCACGGTGAATATCAATGTAAAATAGATTCCCCCTTCTATGCTCTTTGGTTAGACGAAAAATTCACTATTGCAACCAATATCTTTGCAAGCTATCTCTAATCCTCTCTCTACTGCCTTCAAAATCGTCTACGCCTCTTTATGGATGATTAATTTTTTCTATCCGTGCCATTCCTTTTCCACTATGCTATAGCTATTTCCATGTCAAGTGTTCTGACGAAAATAGATTTCTTAGTTCCCTAGCTCTGAAGACTGCATCTGTTGCCCGCCATGCTGCGCAAACAAAGTGGTATCATCTTCATTCCTTTCATATTACATTAGTTAGATAGAAGTTCAACTGTAACAGTTTCTTCCCAAGAAATGCTGCTTTATAAAAGAGACTCCCAGCAGGATGATTTCTTTAGTTCCATCTATTCACACGGCACAAAGACCACCCAAGTTAGAAAATCTATTGAATGAGATTCTAAAAGAGCGGGTAGGACGAAATAAGAGAGAGTATTATGAGCAGGTGTTTGGATAGATGAGGAGGCACGGTGGAGTAATGGATAGCGACTCGGATTGAGAAATAGAGTTCGAATTCCTGTCGAATCCATCACATTCGCTTACGTGCTAATACCCTTGGGCAAGATATGAATCCTCTTCTTCTCCTGGCCCAAGCTATGTAAATAGCAGAACAGTTCGGGTTCTATAGACTTGGATTGCAATTGGTGGACAGCAGAAAGAAATGGCTACCTACTGCGGGAAAAAAAATCTGACTCGTTATCGAAAGATACATGATCACATAACCGTGTATCACGCATAGCACATAACTAACTGGATAGATATCGATTGATTCTAGACTTAAAATAACCAATGCAGGGAAGCATTCTCTCGGGAGTTTGTTTAATTAACACTAGCTGTCTGAGTGGAACTTATCGAAGCAACACGAAGGGAATGCAGATGGTTTGCAACTATGAACGTGGACTGGCGGTGAAAGTAATGCATTTAAGTGATGCTAACATCTGGTGCTAAACGCGATAGATTTGTGAGAGGTTAGCATCGTTTTGTTTGTGCGATAAATGTTTCAGGATGGAGAATAATTTATCACTGACATAGCTGCGTAAGCGCATTTGAATTTTGCCGGGGTTGGCAGGAAAACTCCATGTTTTCCTAATCACTACACACTTGTCTTCTTCAAGTCTAGGGTAAACCGTGATGTTTCTTATTGTAAAGTGCAGATTAAGGCCACATCATATTGAATCACCAAGCCTGGTATTATCAGTGAAGTTGAACAACATCGAACCTAACGGTTAGCAAGCTCGTCTCGTCATATCACTTAGGACGCAGTGGGTTCGATCCTCATTGGGGGCCTCATAATGATTTTCCAAGCGTAGCTTGGATATGGCACAAGCACAAGGCCGAAAGTAAGAGGCACCCAGTGAGGATCGAACTCACTACTCATTCGTAATTGTTCTAGCGAGACAAGCTTGCTAACCATTACACCACCTCGAGGTGCCCCATTGAGGGCTTTATATATTCAGCATTGTGTCACATCTAAGCTAGGCTTAATAAGTTGTCATTATCTTTCTCAAGAGTAATTATAACAATGTGCAGTTTAAAGAGGTTAAAAGGGAAACGGTGGAGAGGCGTGACTGTTGATGCACTGAAGAGAAATGGAACTATAGGAGGGAGTTATTTAGTAGTTTTCAAAAATATAATTGCAAACTTTTGTACTAACATATGAATTTTTTAAAAATAGTTGCTCTTTTAGATGCACTCGTTAACCATTTCTTCAGGTGAGCACCTCATGAATTATTTAATTATTTTAGTTTTGTTTGAAACAAGACTAAACTAATAGGCTCCCCGCAGTAAATCGAGTTCTAGTTTGTTTCCATAGGTAAGTAGTGTAAAAAATAATGGTTCGTAATTTTTCATCGGATAAGCTGAGCTCCAATTCACGTTGTGTTGTTTATATTAAACAAATAAGTACAAATCACCTTGGTAAAGGTATAAATCCACCTCTTCTCCCTCTAGCTATAGATTAATTAGTAAGGCATGTATAACTTAATCATTATTATCTCGAAAAAAATTTCTCAATATTTAAAAATATTTATCTCGCTTTAAATAACCTGTAATGGGTTGATACACCGTAAAAAACAACAACAAATGAATCCATCAATCATAAATCGTTAAGTACAATTTGCTTGCATTGTTTGACACTCGTACAACCCCAGGCAGTAACCTTCTACCTCGAATGGCTCTTGGGTCTTGTATTGGTGAAGATTAGTATAAGAAAACACTAGGCTCTTTTGCTTTAGGTTGAAGACAGTTTAGGAGAAAGATAATAAGTAAGGTATAAATCCACCTCTTCTTCTTCCAGCTAAAGGTTAATTAGTAAGACATATCATTTAATCCTTATTATCTCGAAAAACATTCTTAATATTTAAAAATATTTGCTGGCTTTAAATAACCTGTAATGGGTTGATGCGCCGTAAAAAACGAATCCATCAATCATAAATCGTTAAGTGCACTTTCTTTGCATTTTTTGACTCTCGTATGACCCCAGACAGTAACCTTCTACCTCGAGTGGCTCTTGGGTCTTGTATTGGTGAAGATTAGTATAAGAAAACACTGGGCTTTTTTGATTTTGGTTGAAAAAGTTTAAGAGAAAGAGAAGTCAGAATTAAAAACCTGAGGACAGTTATTTGGAGATTTCGTGAAGCACTAGACATCATTTTTTTTTTTTTTTTTTTTTACTGTTGTTTTCTTCTTTTTAGCCACGAATCTGAGCCTGGATTTAGACAAGCTTCGACCCCTATACTCAAAAAAAATCGTCAGCGTGTCTATTTTATCAGCTCACTTGTAGGCGTCAATTTTGGTTCCTCGCATGTGAAAACCAAACAATCATGATTTCCTGTTTGATATTCGATTTTGTAGAATTTGTTTATCGAGTTGGTAACCGGAGTGCGAAATCATACTCTGATATTCCTGTTGATAGATACTATGAAAATATTTCCTTAGCGCGAAATTTTCCAGCCGGAAATTAATTTTCAACTGAACTTTAAGTTTCCATTTTTAAATGAATACTATTGTCTTTTGCATGCACCTAACCTGTAATTAGACTCTGCTAAAGAACAAAACAAGAAAATAACGCTGGGAACTTCTGCACATACTTAATAATCAATTAAAAACTATTACATGAAGAAATATTTCTAAGTTTACCACCTTGAAAAATAAAATCGGCAACCAGGGTTCAAATTCGGGTTTAAAGCATTTGTAGATTATCTTCCTAGTAATAATGCGCTTGTTAAATCCACGTTCTCCTCTAGTTATAAGCCAAATAGTTGTGTATACTGCGCCTTCATTAGGCAATCAGTCAAGGTGGACGCTTAACCTGAATTCAAACCGTAGAGAAAACGGAGGAAATCCGTCCATTTTTTACCTCAATCGGCATTTCGACTTAGTGAAATTGTTCATGAGCGTGTCTCGTTAGATCTCTGTGTACTGAGTTCAATTTTCAATAGGTCCTCCCTACTTTTGGCCTTGTACCACCTTTTAAGCCATGCTGACTAAATCAAGAAGCAGTTCAGCCTGGTGTAATAACTAGCGAGCATGTCTCGCCCGATCAATTACGACCGAGTAGTGAGTTCGATCCTCACCGGGAGCTCCAAACTTTCGGGCTTGTGCCACAAGTAAGGTACACTTATTGAATCGTCAGGTATTTAGTCTCATGATTAACAAGCTTGTTTCGTCAGATCACTTAGGACGGAGTAGTGAGTTCGATCCTCATTGGATTCTCCTTATATTCGGCTTTGTGCCACATCTAAGCTACACTCATTAAATTGTCATTATCTTCTTAATTATAACAATGTGCAATTTAAAGAGGCTTAAAGAGAAACTGTGGAGAGCCGTGATCGTCTATACCCTGAAGAGAAATGGAAGTAAGGGAGGTTGTTATTCAATAGTTATCAAAAATATAATTGCAAACTTTTGTAATAACATAAATTTAAAAAAAAAAAAACTCTTTTAGATGATTTCGTTAAACATTGCTTCAGGTGAGCACCTTTTGTGTTATTTAATTATTTTAGTTTTGTTTGATACAAGGCTAAACTAATAGGCTACCCGCAGTGAATCGAGTTCTAATTTGCCAAACATTGTGTTAAGGTCGTCTTTTCTGTAAGGTTTTAGCTTTTGTTTATTGTCACTTTCAGTTTTACCTCAATGTGTGCTCATGAAGCTACGCGTGACTTTGTAATAACGATGTATTTGATGGCATTTAAATTGAAGGTATGTCATTGCCCCGGGGTTGAGATAATATGACACAGCCTCTGGATAAGACTAGTTCTAATTTGTAAATAGTGTTTTGGTTCTGATTGTGGCTCTGCGGGGTTAAATTATTTATTTATATATTCTGTTTTGTAATCTTCACTTTCTTCGGGTAAGATCGAAAAACGTTCATATGATACGAAGAAGTTATAGCAAAACGCCTACGGATTCTCAGTTGTCTCCTCATTTTAATGCCTTCTTTAAATCCATTTTTTTATTTGCTTTCTCTGCAGACGAAATTTGCAAGCCTTTTGCTACTCCTTCGCTATTTCCATGGCAAATGTTCAGATGAGACGCTCCAATCTTTGTGCTACCATTTCAGTATTGATATATTCTTAAAATTTAAAAATATTTCTGTAGCTTTAAATAACCTGTAATGAATTGATACGCCTCAGGTCTATCTATCTATCTATCTATCTATCTATCTACATATCTATCTCAGTCGTTTCGTATCTATCTATCTATCTATCTATCTATCTATCTATCTATCTATCTATCTATCTATCTATCTATCTATCTCAGTCTTTTCGTATCTATCTATCTACATATCTATCTCAGTCTTTTCGTATCTATCTATCTACATATCTATCTCAGTCGTTTCTATCTATCTATCTATCTATCTATCTATCTATCTATCTATCTCAGTCTTTTCGTATCTATCTATCTATCTATCTATCTATCTCAGTCGTTTCGTATGTGGCTATCTATCTCAGTCTTTTCGTATCTATCTATCTATCTATCTATATATATATATATATATATATATATATATATATCAGTCTTTTTGTATCTATCTACATATCAATCTCAGTCGTTTCGTATCTATCTATCTATCTATCTTGTTAGCCAAAATCTTAAGACCAATAAAAATAAAGAAAAATTATAACTTTTGCGTTGTTAGGCTCAACCGCATATTTGAGTCGAGCTTCGAAAAATGAATATAAGAAAAGCAAAAATAAAAATTTAAAAAATATTTAGTATTTATCATGGAATATTTGAATAAGCGGAATTCTGCTAGATATTAGCTAGCCAAAAGTTGAAGACTATATTTAAACGAAGATTTAACTGGAAAATAAGTTGTTTTTTTGTTTTTTGTCAACATCTTTCACTGGTATCTCCTGCGTTACATGAACTCAAAACATGGCCACGGCTAAAGAGTTTGAACCTGGCAGAATCGTCGAGCCTTAAAAGTAAGGTTCCTATCAACATTTCGCTTGTTAGATTGGACGAAGTAAAACTGCTGTTGCAATTTTCTTAAACTACTTGAGGGATACGGAATGTAGTCGGTCCAAGAAAATTTCGTCAGTGTTGAGCAAGAGGATTTGACGGGTTGTCCATCTAGATACCATCCGATCAACGAGCCAGATTAAGGCCCTTACGGACGCAGAATACGGATCAAGAATAATTAGACGCCATCTCTGAGGGAAAGGCTTTTAAAATTGTAAACGTTGCTGAGAAATGCTAAACCTGAGATACAGAAAAGTGGAACCCGAACGAGGCTATGCTGAAGGGCAGAGTCTTGTTCGGTGAGGTAGACTAATCCGATACCCGTTTATGCGGAGTCTACGGAGATTTTCTGGCCGAGCGTACGTGCTCGGGAACCCCACATTAAATTCAGCCTTGTGCCACATGTGACTGCGTGGAGAAGTTGCTAGATACACTAGCTGAAATCTTTTTCATCTCTCATTAAACTCGGCCTTTGTGCTACATATAATCGCGTGGGGAAGTAAATACACTAGCTGAAATCTTTTCATCTCTCATTAAACTCGGCCTTGTGCTACATATAATCGCGTGGGGAAGTTAGTAAATACACTAGCTGAAATCTTTTTCATCTCTCATTAAACTCGGCCTTGTGCTACATATAATCGCGTGGGGAAGTTAGTAAATACACTAGCTGAAATCTTTTTTCATCTCTCATTAAACTCGGCCTTGTGCTACATATAATCGCGTGGGAAGTTAGTAAATACACTAGCTGAAATCTTTTCATCTCTCATTAAACTCGGCCTTGTGCTACATATAATCGCGTGGGGTTAGTAAAAATACACTAGCTGAAATCTTTTTCATCTCTCATTAAACTCGGCCTTGTGCTACATATAATCGCGTGGGAAGTTAGTAAATACACTAGCTGAAATCTTTTTCATCTCTCATTAAACTCGGCCTTGTGCTACATATAATCGCGTGGGGAAGTTAGTAAATACACTAGCTGAAATCTTTTTTCAACTGTGCTGGTCGAAATCTCTAACTTCGAGCAGAGAGGATACCCAGACGAGACAATGACAAAAGGCAGAATCTCATCTCGGGAAGCAGCTACCCAATCACGTTTTATACAGGGTCTACGGGAATTCTTGGCTGAGCCTACGGACTCGGATACCCCACAATAAACTCGGCCTTGTGCCACATCAGATCGCGTGAGGAGGCTAGTAAATACACTACCTGAAATCTTTTTCAGCTGTGCTGGTCACAATCACTGCTTCCGAGCAGCGAGGATCCCCTGACAAGACCAGGCCAAAGGGCAGAGTCTCATCTCGGGAAACCGACCCCGTTTTATTCGGGAATTTTTGGCTTAGCCAACGGGCTCACATTAAACTCGGCCTTGTGCCACATCTGATCTGCGGTCTAGTAAATATACTATACTGTTCCAGTTGTGCTGTCGAACTCTCTGGCTTCGGGCATAGAGGAACCTAGACGAGGTTATGCAGAGTCTCGTCCGGGGAAGTAGACAGAGAATTTACAGAGCATTAATATTATAAATTAATTGATTTAAAATTTCTTTTCGCTCCACAGTTCTAACCATCTTTCAAAAATGAAAGCTAAAAGCTCCGAATTTAATTTTGTAATTAAATTAAATTAAAGACATTAGTTCCATTTCATCCTCAAGAGAATTTTGGAGTAACTTTTAAAATTACTGGGTTTTAAAGACACAGCTAAAATCATAATTCATGTTTCCAAGAATACAGAGAAATCCACTTCACTAGACAAGGGGTGTCTGCGTGTTCATTATGTCTGTATTTTGATGTATCAGTTACGTTTTGGTAGTGGGTAGGGATGTATTTTTATAATATATATATATATATATATATATATATATATATATATATATATATATATATATATATATATGACTCTCCTGTCGAATTCGACGTATGAGGGTCCAGCAGATCAGTTCCGAGGAAATCGACACCAGCACATGAGATTTGATTATAGTGGTGAAGGTATCGTGCAGGACCATCCAACTTTTTAAAAGGCCGAATAAAGTGGCACAAGTGGCACTAAGTGCCACAATGTCGCTAAACGACCCTCCGCAGGTTTTGAATTCAGAGTTGTCCTTCTCCTTGACCAGTTGCCATACAAGGCTATAGAACCCAGTCTGTCCTGATATTTACACATAGCTGGAGGGAGAAGAAGAAGTTTCGCACCTTTCACAAGGGTATTAATTTAATGTATTCGACTGGAATTCGAACTCGGCTCTCCGATTCCTCAGCGCAAGCCGCTATCCATTCTTCCATGGACTCATATATATATATATATTGTGTATACGTTACTTTTATGGATTCAACTTATTAGAGTAAATGCCCTGATTTTATTAAACAGTGTTAATTACATTACCAGACTGAATATTCGAGAACTCTCGAAGACAATATGCATCCTCTGACAGAAATCGAACTTGTATCCCATACGGAAACCTTCATTCGGCCAAACGTGCTGCTAACAATTCAACCACAATTCCGGTTTATAAACACACATATTTAATAACCTTTCTCGATAATTCATATCTGCTCCTAAACGTAACCTCAGATAAAGAATATAACATAACATATATATATATATATATATATATATATATATATATATATATATATATATATATATATATATATATATATATATATATATATATATATATATATATATATATATATATAATGCATTAAATCCGACAAATATTTCAATATATTTTCAGTTTATAGGTTATTTTATGGATAAAAATTATTTGAGTAAAAAATCCGTTTTAATTAAACAGTATTAATTAGATTTGTCGGCGTGAATATTTTCTACGAAATTTCTCGTATATTCAGGTCGGTAAATGTAATTAACACTATTTAATTAAAGCAGAGCATTTACTCAAATATGTTGTATCTTAAAAAAAAATAACATATAAACAGAAAATATATTAAAATATTTGTTGGATTTAATACATTATTACACAACCATATATATATATATATATATATATATATATATATATATATATATATATATATATATATATATATATATATATATATATATATATATATTTCAGTCTCATTTTTATTTATAGATTACTTCTCTGTCTCTTATATTCTTATTCTTATTTTTCCACGTTACTTCTTTCTTCATTTTCTCTCTTATTCGAACATTCTAACATTCTAACATTCTAATATTCTAATATCGATCATTCTTACATTCCATTTGTCATTTCCACGATCATATTTATCTCTATCTTTCTTCATTTTCTCTCTTATTCGAACATTTGAACATTCTAATATTCTATCATTCTTACATTCCATTCGTCATTTCCACGATCATATTTATCTCTATCTTTCTCTCTGTTAATGAACCTAACCTCTCTCTTCCTTAACCTTTATCCTCTCTATCTTTTTCTCTCTTGTTCAGTTTATTTCATTATTCTGTGATTCTTCCTCTTTTTCATTCATTCTAGCTCACGGATTTCCATCTTTTATAACTCGCTTTCTAGTTTCTCGTTTTCTCTCCTTGTCTAAATCCACCCCATCACACACCCTGGAATCTTTCCTCTCTTCCCATTCATTCTTCGATTCCTCAATTTCATATATGTGTCGGTTTCTGTACATACGTCTGGACGGAAAACGTTCTCAGACAGCATTCCTTTCACTCACACTATCTTGTCACCTTTCAGCACAAAATCCCGCTCGAAGAACCCGCTGTGTACGTAAATAGACTATTTCCTAGAATGGCAGGTTTCAATGCACAAATTACGTTTTCACTCAAACAATTGAATGGAAATGGCACTATATATTAGAACTTTGGCCAAAGTGCGTCGAAGTGCCAATGTCTTCAGGAAACAGAGAAGAAAACAGAATTATAAAAAAAGCAGAAAAAGTAAACTATGGAAATATTCGAAAACAATTATTTGAAAAACCTTTATTGGAATTGTAAGTTATTTGAAATGCAAAATTCTTTATTGCAATAAAAATATAAGAATTAATAGACGAAATACGGAACTGATAATTATTCGAAATACAAATATCGTATAATAAAACAATTTAGTAAGTAAAAGTCCTTATAACCTTGTTATATGAGACTGCAAGCAAATAGTCAACTACTGAAGAGTACTCGTTAAAGGATGCCATTATTTTTTTTAAGTTTTCCATTTACGTCGCCGTCTTTCTTGGCTCTTTTGATATTTTGGAAATCTCTTCTTACTTTTGCATTATGAATTTTTTGCAAGTCCTGTTCTATTTTAAGAGCGTCTAAGAATTCCCATATTGTGGGATGATGGGATGACACTTGCTGCAAAAAAGGCCTATGCCATCCTTCAAGTGCTTTATTAGTTCTAGGCAAATCAGCATTGACTCTCTCAAAGCAAGACAGCATATGCATTTCAAACATAGTTATTTCGAATAATTTAGCATAATTTTCCTTTCGATTAATTTTCATTCAATTCGAATGTTTTTTTGCTTTTTTTTTTTTTTTGCTTTTTTTTTCGGATCAAGGCGCGGTAAACCTCCCTCATTATTTACTCAACTTAGGTTGAAAAAAAAAAGATGCAGTTAAAAATGTTTTTGTTTTTAATTCGATCAATCATAATTATTTATTATCATTTATTGTGTACCATTCCATTCTCCAGGAAGAAGTATTCTAGTCCGAATGCCGCAGGAAATATGATCATAACTAAAGTTGCAAGATCTAAAATTCCTAAAAAACTTAATGGAATTTTGTATCTGTCTATATTTCTGAAATGAGGTATTAAGTACACGATTTAAATTATTCGGACCCAAAGAGTGTGAATTCAATACCCGGTTAAGGCAGTGGAGAACTTGGAGTGGGAAATTAACAGGAGATAACTGATAACTAACATCCATTAAAACATGACACGTGGAACTAGAACAGTCTACCCCAGTGAACGAAATAAAGGGTTCATTTCGACATTCCAACCTCCTGAAGAAGGTCGGAAAATAAAACGGCCGAAACGTTGTAATGAATATGGCGACAAAGATGAGGATAATAGTCCGAATAATGTAAATAGTGTAATGGAATTCTAAAAATATTTCATGCAATTTTAAATAAATGTATTTTTTTTACAATTACCGTATATGTCGGCGTACATAGCGACATTTTAACTTTTAAAAATCTCCAGAAATAGGTTACCGTCGTCTTATACTCCAGGTATAAAATGTGAACCTTGAATTCTGTAGTTTATAGTAAATTGTTATCATGAGAGATTTTTGATGGTAGCCCAAAACCCTCCACGATTACTTATTCTAATAAAAACACAACTGGATGTTGGTCTCAACAAGCTATGTAAAGATCGCATTCGAAAAGAATTGAAATAATGAATGGTTAAAGGGGAACAAAATCATTCAGGGTACCGTAACAGGGTACCGAAAACGCAGTACCCACTAATGATGTATTGTAGATGGTGGTTGTTAACTGACAATATCACCACACTGTTTCTTCATTAGAATTTGAGTGAAAACAAAGTATATGTTTATAGAACTTATTTAATAGATTCAATACATTTTCAAATACGATTTGTGGGGTCGGCTTGTACGGTGAATATAGCCGGCAACCTACATTTTAAATTAAAATTTGGTGGTCGTCTTATAGGCCAGACGCCTTGTACACAGGCACGTACGGTATTTATTTTGTCCGCTTCTTTAAAACAAAATTATTTTAGGAGTTATTTTTTAGGAGTAGGTTTATTATCGCCCGGTTCAAACTCTTCCGCGGATTTTTTTTTAGCAGGAGTAGAGGTTTATCCCTTGACCCAGTTTAAGATTGGTTTCCCTATTCCTTCTAAAGAGCACTCTTTGTCTGATTGTTACTGTTTTTTTTCTCTCTCCTCAATTGGAGTCGATAGGTGTGACTATCGTCCAGTTCACACTCCTTTTTGGTTTTTTTGAATAGCATTAGAGGTTTATCACTTGTTTAGGATCGGATTTCCGTGTCCTACTTTTTCTTTTCTTTCACTTCCAGTAGCCCCTTGTGTCTTAGTGGTGTTATTGTCTTATTTGAGGTGAATTGATGCATTTTTTTTTAATTTATATTCGTATCTGATAAGTTATCCTTGTTCTTCAGGAAGTTGGCGATCATGGCTGCCGACAATTTCCTGTCATATGTAGATCTTAATATATATTGTCTTTTTGTTATTTCTCCTAAACCTTGTTCGCCATCCCTTTACTCAATTTTCTTCTTCTTCTTCTTCTTCTTCTTCTTCTTCTTCTTCTTCTTCTTCTTCTTCTTCTTCTTGTCCCTTTACGGCGTGGCCGATCATAGCTTACCTCAATTTCCCGTCCTATATGGTTCTTAATAACTATTGTCTTTTTCTTATCTCACCTAAACCATTTTCTGGCCTATCATATCGACAATCACGTTAGGTAGGTGTTGTTTTCATCTATCCCCCTTACTTTCTATCTGTCCTGTGAGTATCAAATTTTCCAACACCTTTTCCTCATTATGTCCCCTTATAGCTTTCAACTGCCTCTTTCTTACATCAAGAACAAGTTTTATGTTTGTTTCCGTTTTCTCTAAAACATCGCCATTGCTTACATATTCAGTCTGTGTTCTCTTCGGTACTCTCATGTAGAAACACATTCCTGTTGCTTCCAGTCTCTTCTTCATCTGTGAGGCGATTGTCGAGCTTTCACTGACATATCTGAGGACTGATATTCCATAACAATTCTGTATTATTTTCTTTGTTTCATATGAAATTTTCCTGTTTCTTAATATTATGCTTAGCTTTTGAAAGGCATCTTTCGATATCCCAATGCGCCTTCGGATTTCATTGTTACACATTCTGTCCTGTGATAAGATTGGTTTGGCTTATTTTGGTTTATGGTATATCAACCTCAATGAGTTATTTAATGCCGACAACATTTTTAGGATGGATTCGTATGAATAGAATATGTATTCTTTGGTTTAGATTGGTTTGGTTTATTTTGTTTTATGGCATATCAACTTCATTTGATTATTTAATGCCAACAACATTTTTATGATAGATTCGTATGAATAGAATATGTATTCTTTGGTTTAGATTGGTTTGGTTTATTTTGTTAAACGGCACATCAACCTCAACGGGCTACTTAACGCTGACAATTTTTTTATTGTTGGTAATATTTTGTTTTGTCAAAAATTTGTCTCTCGTAATATTTTCCCTTCAAAATTGTATTGCTGGTAATAATTCTTTTCAAGAAAAAGTATTGCTGGTAATAGTTAACTATTTGCCCATAGCTGGGGCCCTAATAGGTGCTACCACCCCGGGTCAGCAATTAAGAGGTGGTTTCACGAATCTTAAAAACCTCCTGATCAGAGGCCTTGCTGCTGGACGTAGTTTATCGTCTTACCCAGGACGCGGATGTAGTTTAACGTCTTATCCAGAACTACCTGTGATAAGATGATTTTTTATATCAGTGTCACGCCATGCAAGGCAGTACAGCAACTAGCCAGCAAGAGGTTACAGGTTGTGGGAGAATAAGGAACAGAAACATTAGTAATGAGTAGAAAGTGAACAGAACATTCAACAGGACAGTAGAAAGCGATTGACATTGCATTTAAATTTTTGCAGGTTAAAGTTGGATGGACAGCATATAGCCAGAAAGGAGTTCCAGAAGCGAGCGTTTAGAGAACCTAGCGTAGATGTTACGGTTATATCTTGCTAGCTCACTGAAAAGGATGCGATCTCGCCACCAGTTTTGTATTTCGCTCAAATTCATACAGTCAACGTACGATAGTAAATTTCTCATCTGAACAGTTACCATGAAAGTGTTTATAAAGAATGGCCCGGAGACGCAACCTTACGGTGGTGATAAACTGACTGAAGCCGAGCCGCCAGATCAGGACCGATAATATTGCTGATTCTTTGGATCTTATCAATGAGTTCCAAATAAATCTCATGGGCACCGCACCATATATAGCAGCAATATTCTAAGCTTTGACGAATGGTAGACTTATGGCTATGCAAGATAGATTCAAAAGGGAAGAATTTCTTATCAGCTGACCTAGCAATATGCTGTAACCAAGTAAATGATTAAGTAATAACAAAAATCAGGTTTGCAGATATGTCGTATATTAAACAGTAAGTACACCACACGACTAGTGAGAGTGTATCGAATGAACCAGCTCTCAATCTATTTAATATTCATTGTCTTTTGATCCTTCTCTCCTACTAAACTTATAGTAGGTGGAAGAGTCTAGCATAGACTCTTTAGAGGGAGGACACCACAAAAGAATGAATTCGATATAATCTAATTTTTCTACTTGATTTTGATATCTATAATTTGTAGTATTTCTTTCACTGAGAACCATACATTCTCTATTACAATTGATGGTTAGTCCTTTCTTCTCGCTTTCCTTCACCACCTCCTGTAAGAGTCTTTGCAGTTTACCTTCTGTTTCTGATATCAGCACTGTGTCATCTACATATCTTATGTTATTAAGATTCTAGTTGATATTACTGGATCCTCGATGAAATTCTAAAGGGTAAGATTTATCCGAAACAGTTACTTGGTTATGAATCCTTGCAAAGAAGGAGTCGAATAATCTTGTAAAACTTTTGTTTAATCCAACCAACCTTTGATCAAAACCATTTTTATTTCCATTTTCTATTTGTCTGGTTTGCTATCAAATCCTTTCTACAATCAAAATATTTTCATCAGATTATCGTTTAATCCAACAAACATTGAAACAAAATATTTAATTCGTTTCCTCAATTACGTGAA